TAGTGATCCCTGAATATTGACAGTGGGTCGTATTCTTTTTTTTGGTGATGAATTAAAACCTTTTTTTACATTTACAACCTTAATGACATTTTATCAGCCCTCAAGTCTGTTTGCAATGAAAATGACTCAATCATTTTCACAGCTGAGCGGAAAGAAATAACAGTGAATACGGAAGATAAAGGGTCAGTTAATTTATTAACCCCAGAGGAAATTATCAACAGCTTATCCAGTTTATCAGTCAAAATTTCTGAAATTGAAAAGGCAACTAAGGGCCAAAGTAGTAATGACTTTTGGTTTTCAGTGAGGAGACACCTGATTACTGCATCAAAAGCCCATAATGTCAAGAGAAGGATGTCAACTCATAAAAGTAAAGGAGAAGAAGACTTTAGTTCAGTTTTTGCAAGAGTTTCGGGAGAAAAGCTGGTAAATGCCAGACTGCCAGCACTAAAGTATGGCCTTGCTATGGAAGAAGATGCTACAGCAAAGTTTATTGAGAGTTTTACCAGGGAGCACAAAAGTGCAACACTAAAGGAGTGTGGTTTGTTCCTTTCCAAAGAACTACCATTCATTGTTTACTGTGACTGTTGTGGGAAGTCATGTCTGGAAGTCAAATGCCTCTTTTCCATGGCCCATACTTCCCCTAGCAATCCTGATGCAAAGCTGCCATATTTAGCAATTGATTCTGGGTCCAACACGCTTTGTTTGAGAAGAAAGCACAAATACTTCACCCAGTGCCAAGTTCAGATGGCTGCTACAAAATCCATACAATGCTCCTTTTTTGTCTGGACTAGTCATGGCACATTCACAGAGAAAGTAAACTTTGACAAAGAATTTTGGGACAGTACAAAGGATTTATTAAATGAATTTTACACAAATTTTTATATCACACATAGGTTTTCAACCAAGCTGTCATAAAATTCACTGCTTTTATCGATTGACTTTTTGCTTCTTTGCATTTTTATTCTTCATTTAGTTCCAATGTAAACTTGCAGGAGCTTTAATGTTACAAATTCTTTAAGAAAAAATCAAAAAGGATGAAACAAAATTGTCTTTGCGTCAGTATTATGTTATTGAAAAGTCAGTTTCATGTTGTGCTAGTACTACATTTTTAAATGAAAAATGTTACAATGATATTGAAGAAATAATTTTACCCTAATCTATTTTGACTTCACATGTTGAAAAAGTAAACACTCAACAGAAATACAAGATTCTACAATGGTTGGGAACAATGCTCAGTTTGAAAAATTATGGGCTTATCAAAATGTTAAAAAAATCAAGCCTGTGACTGTGACTGAGGACAGCTTTAATTTTAGATGAATAATGAATTGAAATTAGAATGTTCTAGGTTCAATGTTCTCAAAAATCAACTTCTAAAACTTGGGCTTCTTTAAGAGAAGAATCAACTAGGTAAAAAAGGACTAAAATAAAAAATATGTCACTTCATCAAGGTGCTCAAACACATAAACATTGTAAAGAGGTTTCAATCAATTGGCTGTTTTTTCATAATTTGATAAAACTAAAGGGAGGGCTGCTGCTAGGGGGTTATCCAGAGCTTGATGATAAGGAGGGAAGCTTCCTTTTTTGGCAGGAAGCTTAAGAAAGTTTAATTTTACTCGGTAAATTTTAATGTTGTAGTTGACTGGGCAGACATTTGTATGACCAAAAAGGGTTGTTAAATGTAAATGTAATGATGATGAAATAATTATTATTGGTAAATAAATAAAAAAATTTTTCACTGTCTTGGCTTGATCAGAGGTGGTTGTATGTTGCAAATTGCTGCACAAGTCTTTACAATATCATCAGCAAATGAAAGAAGCGTGAGGGGCAATGTACCCTTCAAAAGTCTAAATGTTTTTATGCGATTAATTGCACGCTCTACGTGGATCCGTAAATTTGCAATTGCCTTTGTCTTTTTGCACTCTTCAGCTGTCATCTGAGACTTGACTCTTGCTCCAGGTGGGACAAAAAGTGTGCAGTAAAAATGGAGGAGATCCTCTTATATCTGAAACCCGCGATCTGCCATTATTACATCATTGTATTCAAGTAGGGAGTAGAATCCACTGTTCTGACATATGTACTGATCAGTGGTCCTACCCCCAAAACACTTAGAAATGAAAGTTATAAAGCCAGATGGAGCAATACCAATAAGGAATTTGATAGTGTTCCTCTTTTTGTAATCTGACCAAGTTCCTGCATGATCACTGACTGACTTTGGTCTTTCAATTGCTATCTCAGTGCAATCAATGATGCATCTGGTTTTACTATAGGGCTCTTTGAAAACATCTGGCAAATTTGTTGTTATGATGTCTTTTTCGAGCCACACTATCAATGCATCTCCTAGAATTCTGCTCAAAAACCTGATCCATGTGGAAAATATTCTTGAGCAGGTAGATGGGGATATTTGAAATCTATACGCAGGATCATTAAGTAGCAACCCAAGCCGTAGCTGCATCATAACAAGCAAAAACTGGTCTTTGCCACATAGCTTTTGAGACATCAAACCTTTGTTACCAGTTGGCCTTGCTTTTGTAGAAATGACAGTCTTTGATCCCCTCCACAGCACCAAATTTGGTAGGTATGGGCGTAATAATGCAAAAATAGCATTAAAGATGACAAGTGACTGGATGCCAGTATAAAATTTGATCTGTTCATTAGATTTTAGAAAAGCTGCTGACATTCTCTGTGGCCCTTTGACATCATCCTTTTTCAATTTTAAGGATTCAAGCTTTGTAGACAACTTTGCAATATTTCACCTGTACAATAACAGCACGACCTAGTTCTTTTTGCAGCTACTGCTGCGAGTGATTCATGTTGAGCTTTTCTTAGTTTTCCATATTCAGAAAGGAACAGTGGATAAGCATGGCTTTTATGCGCAAAGAATTATGATATCTTCTTTCCTTCACTGGTATGCAACGTAATGAGATTTAAAAAGTTTGCAATCCTGCTTGAAATTATATAGCTCTAAGCTTTGTTGTAGATGTAGAGAAACAACAATTTAGATGTAGATGTAGAGAAACATCAATTTGGAAAAACAACAATTTTAATGTGAGCATAATTTTTGTATCATAATTTTCTATTAGAGACCTACAGTGCAATATTTTTGGATGGAGAGTGGCCACTAATATTGCTTAAAATGTATCTTTTTAATATGTATCTTATAGTTACCTTAATTTGCATTGCACCTTTTTTTGCCAAATTTCACATTTTTGCAAGATTAAATTTTGAAACCTGAAACAGGATATACTCAGTCAGAAGTTTTAAATTGGTGCACCTGTTTGACCCATGATGCAATGACTATTTGAATATATCACAGAGTTCAAGAAAAAAATTAAATTCCGTTCTTGTTCAGTTAAGAAAATATTTGTTTGGTAGATTCTTACCATATGCTGATTTCTTAGAAACTTTTTAAAAAACTATGACTAACTCACTGTAATCACATTTTAAAAATTTTAGTCTCTATCATTGTCTTTTTTAGTCTTTAGCTCTGTTCATATCCCCTTCTGTTTTGAAGATTTATCGACCGCTCTTCTGTATTTATCAATTGTGTTGTTTGCATAGCTGTGACACCGTATCTTTATGTATAATGGAAGCACAGCTTTACGTACAAACAATGCATCTTCGAAGCTGCATTGTTAGGGAATCAAATTCAAAAATTTCCTTTCAATTTCACTGTTTTGAAGACAGTCTTCTAAGATGTAAGTAGAATTTATTGTTTTTTCAATTTTCGACACATGTGTTTGAAAGATGTTCTCTGCAACAAGTAAAATTTCCAGAATCCACTTTTTGCTTGTGTCAATCCACCTTTGTTCAAGGCACTGATGAATTTTCATTTGCTTTTCCTCGCCATCTTCTGCTTTAAAGGAATCTATGATAAGTAAATCCTTATCAATTGAGCTCACTTTCTCAGAGGTACTGGTTTTCAAAAGCTTAAAGAATCTCTTTTCTAACTTGGATAATATTGCTCCTCCTACATATGCAATTACATCTTTCTCGTCATCTGAAATTTTGATTTACGGCACAGATTCTTCATCAAGAGCAATTCCGAATTGTTTGTGAAGACTGGTCTGTATGTACAATGAAAACCCTGGCTCGAATCCAAGAGGACCTTCAAGACTTGACTGAAGGGATTTCCTGGTCAGAGCCAATACTATGGAATTCTCTCCACATGGTTTCTCTTGCCACTGCAACACTTCCCTTGCCAAATTTTTCAATAGTTTTTTGCAACTTTGGAATAAGGAAGTCAAGGTTTGGAAGAGATTGCTGAAGGAGTTTTATTTTTTGTTCATAGAGGTGATCTAGCATAGGATCTCTCTGCATCATAATTATTGCATCTCTAATAATTGAATTCAACATGTTTGAGTCGATGAACAGGTTAATTTTCTGTGATTTTTATATTTTCTTTTTTTCATTCTCTTTTTTCCCTTTAGGCTTTTTAGTTCTTGAGTTAATACCTGGGTTGTCACCATCTTATACAACAAAGCTCCTATTATATAAAGAGATGCATGAAAAAGCATGTACAACTGGCGATTTCCAAGAGAAAACAAAGTAGAGTAAGTCCCAGCCTAAGGAAACGCATATTTTCATATCAGGTTGTTTAGTTTCTTTCATTTAAGAAAATATTTTTAAATGAGGCTTGTTGAATTCTTATATGTTCATTTAGAAACTCCTTTTTACATAAAGCTTTCTTGTCAAAAATCATCTTCAAGGATAGCGCTCCATAGTAAACAAGGACACCAGAAAAATGAAGATGCATTGTTTAAGTATAAAATACTGTATATAGTTGAACTTAGATTTTGTCCCATTTTCCAGTAATTGGAAAAAAATCAGGCTGCCTAGTTTCTTAAAAAGGAGCAGGCTGCAGTTTCTTTTATGTCTATTTC